TATTACCTACTATACCTATACTATCTTTACCTCTACCTAATAACTCAGCCTTACTAAGGTCTACTAGCCTAGACCTTAAGCAATATATCTAAGAGTATACCAGTATAAGTCAGCCTTAATAGGCTAGCGCTAAGGCTAAAATTAATATATAGAAGAGGGCGTTCCTATTATTACGCACCTATAAGTAGTAATAGTAGTAGTAATAATAATATAAGCAACTTATACTTAAAGATACTAAGGAGGACCTAGCTAACTAGGCTATATTATTACTAAGCAACTTACTCTAAGTAAGTTACTATTACTAATACTCTGTTATTCTCTTCTCTCCTTATCTTAATTTTACTATTACTAATAACTACTACTATAGCTAAAAACTCTATAAGATATATAAGCTATTCTCATATATAGGCTATTAAGGTTAGTAGGCTATTAAGGCTAATAGGCTATTAAGGTTAATAGGCTATTAAGGTTAGTAGGCTATTATAATATATATTTAGGGTTAGTAGTTAGGGTTAGTAGTTAGGATTAAGGTTATAGTTAGGTTAGGGTTATAGGATATATTATTTACTATTTTAGATATATATTAATAATTAAGTATATAGATAAGTATTAACAATTAAGTATATAGATAAGTATTAATAATTAAGGCTAAGTTAAGATATATATTAAGCAAATTATATAATTATTAGTTAGGTATATCTAATCTTAAAACCTACTAGTAAATATAGTTAGTATAGCAATTGCTACTTAGTAATTATTATATATTAAAAGTCTAGTTTATAACTGTTGTGCTGAGGCGCTCCGCTTTCCTTCCTCTAGGGCTCGCCACTGGAGTCAAGGCATCTGGTATCCCGTTGGGTTGTATCCACGGCAACGGTGAATTACATCGAAAGCCTCAATGACGCATGGAAGTCGCCCAGCTAGGCGCTATCGTGGACCGCGTAGACGTCGCTAGCTGGCGAATGAGAGAGTTGTTTGGCAGCTTCTTCGATGGCGCATTCTCTAGCAGGTAATCCTGATCTGCCTGCTTCACTTCTCACCTTTCATCACAACCTATAAACTCTCGTTCATTTGAACGTTTCGACTACGTATTTTAGTGCCGGTTATCATCTAGAGGTTGAGGCGAATCAGCGCGCTCGAAATACCTCTTAGTTGCCAAAGAGAGAAGCCAATCAGCTCTTCGATTTCGTCCCGCTTGGATTCGTCTTGCGACGTTCGGATGGATAAGCTTGCGACTAAGGTACCTTACTGAGCACCGGCCGACCAGCTCAGAGTAGAGGTGCCATGCTTTCATAGTACCATAGTATCTACTTTTTTCTTTCTTTGCCAGCGTAGAGGTGCGGCAGTTGGAGGGCTCGACATGTGCCGGATTGTTGGGATATCGCACCATCGCACAGAAACAGAGCATGGTCCGTTTCACAGCACACGTGCTATAGGGTGGTGAGCAGTTACTAGATAAAGCCAGGTAGGTTATCGTCTAGCTCGTGATCTAAAGGTAGGCAAGACAAGATGGTTCGACTTCGGCCGTTTTTCGAACGAGCCCGGGACTGAGCAATGTGATGATCGGCAGGGCAGAGACCATCTCTGTATCCCACTGAATCGGGGAGATCCCAATAACGTCCCTCTTTCGATTCGTGTTGCTCTCGACATGCATATTTCTCGAACCCAGGTTCTCGGGAATCCCGATGAGCTGGTCAACGGGGGGACTTTGAGGAAGCTGCATGGAAGACTTCTTTTTGTTTTGTTTTTCCCCGGTTCCTTTGGAGCTTCCGCACCTAGACGGACTATTTGCTGCGTGGCTGGCTGGTGGCCTCTCCTCTCGTGGACGCTGAGACTCGTTATCCCACATTAGGGGCCTTGGTGAGAGTCTTAGTCGAGGCGGATGACGTTGGGAGGCTTGCAGTAGTAAGACACTTGACTAACGCTCGTGTGACGAGGTGCCCGCGGATGATTGGTCTGCGGAACGAGATGCCAAAACAGAAAGGGGTCCCAAAAAGCCATCGTTTGCGCTATGCGTGTAAAGTGTTGCGGGAGAAATGTTCCTGACACGGGGGAGTCGAGTCGTCTACACAAATTCCCCTAGAGGCTAAGGTAGGAGGTGGACCAGGAACGTGCTTGGCGACACGGACGGGATTGCGCCGATCGATTTTCCGATGATACTAGTCCCGCATTGCTCAGAATGGGACTCTTTCGTCCAAGTTTTGCGAGACATGAACCCAACAAGAAGTTGGAAGATTTGGATCTCGTCGTCCGGAGCTTGCTCCTGACTTTCGAGGTCGAGACCATACGAGCATGTGATTGGCTGGGCGCGCTCGAGCAGGAGTCAGGGCCGACCCACCGCAACTCTGTTTCTTTTTGCGTCCACGATTGGGAAGGCAGGGGGGATGCCGTTTTAGGAGATTATGATGTCACCAGGCGCAATGACCATCCCGTGCTTGTACATGACGCATCTGTCGGGAGCGGGAAGGAGAGCTGTGACGACAGCCCGTCCGACCGCATCTTGCCCTTTTTTCTCTCCCATCTTCTCAGCCGCGCGAGGCTTACGCGCACGGATTGCAGCTGAAGGAAATAATGACAATATTGGGAAATCGGATGAGTGGAGGAAGCTTGGCCTGGTTTTGATCAGTTGAGCAGAAAAAATCAAGATACCGTGGGGGATTGGGGGCTGGGTTGGTGGGAAAGGGATTGGATCAAGGAGGTAGGTGCATATTAATGGAGGATTTATTGCGACTCCACGTGTGAAGTCGGGATGACGTGGGGCAATAACGTCACTGGCAAATGAGCAAGCGCCGCGACGGACTGGACACCGTTTAAGATTTCATCTCAGCACTAAACCTCCTCATTTTGGATGGAATAAGAAAGCAAAACGGAAGGAGAAGAGCCACGATGGGAAGACGATTCCTATTTAGCATCACTTGACAGGCGTCTAGCGTCTTGTTTGGTTCCAATAACTTTCCCCCTCGTCGAAGCTTTTAGAGACATCAGGGGTGGGACGCCACGATGCTACACCCATCACACCCCGGGGCATGTGTGATTGGTTGGGCGTCGTTGATTCCGTGGTCGCTTTGGTGGGACAGCTTCTTTCCCCCATCCACTTTTTTCTTGCCTGCCCCCGTGCCGGCCTTGCGCTCTGCACTATTTTTTTTCTTCCTTCTTCCCTGGCAGAGACACCGGGACATTGGACAGTTTGGACCAATTTGGAACATTTGGGACCTTCGGGTACCACGCCGAATCCCACATCATCTCACAAAGCATCTCAGTAATCTGCGTTGCGGAGACGGAGAGGACTGACCGAAAGAGACTGACAGAGACAGAGAGGGAGAATCTGCCTCGCCTCTCGTCTACCTTGCCTGACCGATGCTCTGCTCGTCCAAGATATTGACCGATCCTCGACCTCTGGTCCGGTCCACTCGATCACCATCTCTTTTGCTGACCGCGCGGGAAGGTACTTAAGCTTCCAAGGTAGCAGAGAGAGCTGCCGTCGGTGAAGGCTGAGACGCTCCGTCGAAAAGAGGAAAGGGAAGGAGGCACTACAGCAATAACAGGCCGGGCCGGACTAAATCACTGTGACTGTCACTGCAGCTTCTCGTCTGTTCAACCCGACCGGACAGACGCTTCTCATTAATACCCGCTGCGTGAGGTAGTCACGATACCTTGTACACACCTTGCGGTCTTCCATCGTCATCGGCCTGCTTCCCGTCTCTCCTCCCTAGTTCCATGTCCCCCCGGCCCTGGCATCCCAGGTACTGCCTTACCTGCCTTACCTTACCTCACAACACCAAGGCGAGCTTAGCTTTGCTCTGTAAGCTACGGGCTCTGCCTTTTTCTGATTTTTTAATCACGTCCGCCGTCACCTCGACCTCCAATCCCATCCTCGACTGAGGTGACCACGAGAGTTCTCACCCAAGAACACGGTCGCCCTAGCCGCTCTCAGACGACAAAGGGATCGACACGGGGGTAAAAGGTCCAAGATTGTTTTTTTCTCAACCAAATGCCGCCATCTGCGTAACAAGCCACCATTGCGACGACGCCGTTCAGCCCCTCAAAACACCCCGAGAACGGTCTTGGTCTTGCTCCTCCACGTCCTGCTCCTCCGTCGTCCACCGCTAGCCATTTTCTCTCCTCCGCCCTCCGCCCTTCCCGTCTTGTCATCTCATCTTTTCTCCTTCCATTCGACACGAAACGCTTTCGTCCCGTCCGTCCTTGGCCATCATTCCGTCGCAGCGCCTCCAAGGCGAGACTTCTATTGCATTCTTCGTGTTTTTTATTTTTTTCTCTTTCCCTCTCCGGATTCACGTTGCCGCAACGCGACGTCGGCCAAGGTCCGATATCCACTTCCACCCAGCCCAGGATTTCCACAACCACAACCACAGACCAAACCACCAAACACAACAACGCACCCGCGGCGTACGGAGTGCATCCCGCGCCCGCTTCTTCTGACAGGCCTTGACCGGGGATCCTGCAGAGTCCCAACACCAAAACTCACCATCTGACCCGCCGGTATTGACCAGCTTTTGGACCTCGCCCCGGCCAGGAAACAACAGCCTGGGTGTGCCGCGGTGCGCGCCCTTCTCCACCCGGCACAGCAGAATCGCAGCTTCCGGACTCGACCACACTGGCACCCTCGTCAGCTTCATCCACTTTGGACCACTTTGCGCGCACCACCCCGGTTCGCTTCTGGTCCTTTTTCTCTCCCACCTGCCCTTGCGCCGCTCCCGCATCTCCCCTCCTGCATCGCAAACAACTCCCAGCACCTGTCTTGCCCTGCCCGCGGTGTATCGCGTCTGCCGACTCAAACCCTATCCTCACCAGCGGGCCCAGAATCGACTCTAGAAACGAAGCATATACTCACAAGAATACCGCCAGAAGCGCATTGGCCTGACATCAGGACCCAGCCCCGAGCCGACCATTGGTTGAGGATGAGAGAAGTCACAGATACTGATACCAAATCCTGCCGATCACTTGGCTGAGCGGACGACACATACACCCTGCCCGCCGCCATGCATCCTCCCCCGCTCCTCGGTGTGGGCGTCGTTGACCTTCTCGAGTCTGACCCCCGACCGAGCTTCGTCGTTACCCTTCCGGCTTCGTTCAAGGATTCCCTTCGCGCCGAGGTCATTTACAACAACCCGGCCCTTACCAGCAAGCCCGCCCTTCTCGAGGTTCTACAGTCCATATCGAGTCTTGACCACACAAGATTCTGGGACTGGATCACGGCGCAAGACGCCACCTCTCCGTCGTTTCTTTACAACAACCACTTCTGGACCAGGAATGTCGTTCTCAACAGATGGGTAGTTGTGAGCTCCAACGACTTCCCGCCCATGTCGGAGCCTCCTAGGAAGATACGCCTCGATGGATCGCGAGGAAGAGAAGCGAGCAGCGGAATTCTGCACCCCCACGCCTCGACTGTCCCGTCCATGTCTTCAGCAGACTCGTCCGAAGAGGATTTACCACACCCCCGAATCGTTAGAGCGACTACTGAGCCACCGTTAGTTTTGCCAGACTTTATGCCGGATCAGGAACCGTTCCTCGACATGATCGACAGCGTCAACTGGAGCTCAACCCCTCTGGGGCCCATGGATAGTTGGCCGTCGATGCTGCACCAGTCGTATAGCCAGATCCTGTGCAACTCTCAACCCACAGCAATCTACTGGGGACCCAAATTCACCACCGTTTACAACGAAGCATACGGAGAAATGATAGGATCGCGACACCCCAACTTGCTCGGCCGCTCCGTGACAGAAGTGTTCCCGGAAATCGCAAATCAGCTTAAAGATATGATGGAGAATCCAGGACAAAGCCGCCGGTCTAGCAGCGAGGAGGAGTTTTGTTTCTTTGTGGAGCAACCCGAAGGTCCGCCACTGGAAACGTACCTGAAATGGTCACTTGTTCCGGTAATACACGACAATCAGTGCCTTGGTTTCATCCATTTGATATCGGACACCACGATGTACCACCTTTTCCGCAGACGGATCCAAATGTTGGTCGATATGGGCGAGGAACTGGGCACCGCCAAAGACGTCAAATCGTACTGGAGCAAGCTCATCGAAGAGCTTTCGGAATGCGACCCAGCTTACGATATCCCGCTTGCTATGCTATATTCGATCGAACGGGCCGGATCAGACGCTGGTAGCGAATCACGACACGATTTCGAACATATCTGCCGTCTGGAGGGTGCTCTCGGCATCCCGAAAAACCACCCTATCATGCCCGAAACGCTGCGGTTGAAAGAGACAGACGCAGGCCTGGCGTCTCAGTACCGTGCCGCCCTGCGCAGCCACGGGCCACTAATCATCAGGACTTCTGACGGGAGCTTGCCGAAAGATTTATTGACAGGTCTACAGTGGCGTGGCTTTGGTGATCCATGTGAGGCGGCTATCGTCTTGCCCATCCGACCGACCAAGGAGGAGGAAGTAATGGGTCTGCTTGTCCTAGGCCTCAACCCTCGGCGACCATATGACGATGCTTATAACTTATACATCCAGCTCTTGGCCCAGAAGCTGACGACATCGCTGGCATGTACCGTCCTATTGGAGGAAGAGAGGCGAAGGGGACGAAACGCAGCCGAGCAAGCAGCCTATGACCAGGCCATGCTGAAGGAGAAGCTGGCCTACCAGACAAAGGAGGTCATTGAGTACACAAGGCTGTTCCAGACTGTGTCCGACTTCATCCCCAACGGTTTCTCCATCGGTGACCACCAAGGAAACATCACCTTTGCCAACAACCTTTGGTACCGCATAACTGGATATCCTGATAACCAGTCTGAGGATGGAGGTGCTTTCTCTTTTGTCCTGGAGGTTGACCGAGAAAAGATACGCGAGGCGTACAAAGAACTGCGCATAAAGGATGAAGTTGAATTTGAGTTCCGCGTGCAAGGCACTGAGCACACCAATGGACTGCTGGCGCGCAGGTCTCCCTTTAAAGCCGATCTTTACAGCGAACTCGACAACAAGTTGGAGCGGTATGTTATGGCCCAAGCAAAGGCAGAACGCGCCATGGACGGAACCATCATTCGGACTTTTACCTGCCTGACAGATGTGACGGCACACAAGAGGACGGCTGACGAAGCAACCAGGCGGACCCAGCAAGCACAAAACTTGAAGCGGATGGCGGAGCTTGCGACGGTCGGAATGTTTGACATAGATACCGGAGGACGCCTTTTGGGTGCGAACAATGCATTCTTCGAGTTGTGTGGTATTGAAAAGGTGGATCTCACGCAGCACGAAGTCCGGCCATGGCAGACATCAGTTGCCAAGGAGGACCTTCCTATCCTGACCGAGTCCTTGAACCGGCTGGTGTCTGAGAAGAAGCCGCAGACAGCTGAGATTCGATTGAACACCACCTGGACGGCTGAGGATGCCGGAGGAAACCTGATTTCGGCTCCGAGATGGGTGAATGCTACTTTCATGCCTGTCAGCAATTCCGATGGTGTAGTGCAGTCGTTCACTGGCTGCATCAGCGACGTTTCCCTGCAAAAGTGGCAATTGGAGACGGAGACGCGACGTACCGAAGAGGCCATCGACTCGAAGCGACAACAGGACAACTTCATCGACATGACATCTCACGAGATGCGCAATCCTCTCAGCGCCATCGTTCACTGCTCCGATGCCATCATTGCCTCCCTCGCGAGATGCGAAGAACTCGCCAACCGCCCATCCAGTCCGATACTGATCAAGTCGCCACCTGAAGAGGATAACGGCAAACACTTTGATATGAAGCAGCTTCTTTCGGACAGCATTGAGAACGCCGAGACAATCGTTGCATGCGCCCAGCATCAGAAGCGAATCGTGGACGATATTCTAACCATGTCGAAGCTGGACTCCAAACTATTGGCTGTCACGCCTTGCACGGTCAACCCGGTACAGATCGGGGAAGAGGCTATCAAGATGTTTGATGTGGAAGCACGCCGCGTCGACATCGATCTCAACATGAAGGTTGACAAATCGTATCGGGAACTCGGATTCGATTACCTCGATCTAGACCCCTCGCGTGTCAAGCAGGTTCTCATCAACCTACTCACCAATGCACTCAAGTTCACCAAGTCGGGGTCGATCCGAAATGTTTCGGTTTGCATGAAAGCCTCCCGGCAACGACCTACCGATGAGACGTCAGCCGTTACCTTCATACCACGATCTTGCCACGAGGAATCGGAATACGAACAGCCTGCCTTGGAAGGTCGCAGAGATCCTATATACTTGATGTTTGAAGTCAAGGATACGGGCCAAGGCCTTTCTGAAGACGAAAAGGCGAACCTCTTCAACAGGTTTGTGCAAGCGAGCTCGCGAACGCACGTCAAATACGGCGGGTCGGGGCTGGGACTGTTCATCTCGAGACGTCTGACCGAATTGCAAAAGGGCGCCATTGGTGTGTCAAGCTTACCAGGAGTGGGATCCACGTTTGCCTTCTTTGTCGAGGCATACGTACCGTCCGAGGCATCCCGGAGAGAGGCCGAGTCTGCAGCTGCGGCCGTGAGGGCGACAACGCTAGCCATCGCTGCCACCACCCCTATTTCGGCACCGCGCATTAGATCGCCCACGAAAGAACAGAGGACACCCGGCTCGCAAGTAAGGCCGAGATCTCATGACCCTCGACTCGATGGCATTCTGGTCGTGGAGGACAACCTGATTAACCAGCAAATCACCCGCCGCGGTCTGCAAGATAGGGGATTCACCGTCGACGTGGCCAATCACGGCATCGAGGCGTTAGAAAGACTCATGCAGTCGATCTCCCTGCAACAAGAGGAGGAGCAAGAGTACTTTAGCTCAAGTCTCTCCAGCGTTCAGGGGCCCCCGGTGCCCATCAACCTGATCCTTATGGACATAGAAATGCCGATCCAGGATGGGCTGACGTGCACAAGACGAATCCGCGAACTGGAGCACGAGGGGCGGGTGTTCTGCGCCAGTGGCGGCAGGATCCCCATCATCGCCGTGAGCGCCAACGCGAGGCCAGAGCAGATGCAGCAGGCCAAGAGCGCGGGATGCGACGACGTTCTCGTGAAACCCTATCGGATGCCCGAGTTGATTGAGAAGATGCAGGTGGTTGTACGGCGGATGGGGGGACTCTCTCCCGGCTCGCCTATACTCTAATGGACGGGAGGACGAGGTAGAAGGAGGGTACGGTCTAGCTGGTCACATGGGTCACCAAGAGCTGGTGGTCTATGCAAAGACGGATATGGCGTTTTAGGGGAGCCCCAGCAGGACTGGGCTCGGGAAACTGGAAGGACTTCCGGGCGTTGGTACGGTCACGCCTTTTTGTGTCATGGGGTTGTGCCCATCGATGGGTGGGAAGCACGAAAGATACCAGGCTTGGCTGCGTACTCGTGGTGCTGAATATCACACGCAGGAGAGACTTGGCGCCACCGTGTTGGCGGTGAGGCGTGGTCAGGGTTATCTGATAATTGGAATGGCCGTTAGCGTAGACGGGAGAGGGTATCTCCCAGGGAATTATTGCATCACAGGAGAGCTCACCCGACATGGTCATTGGGTATGGGGAATGGTAACGGCCTTTAGATGACGAGACGGAATAATACCAGACGGACTAATCCGAGGTTCTCATCGTTGCGAGGTGTTGATTGAGTGTGACATGCCGGGTCCTCAATGTGTATCTGTCCACCAAGCGATGTGTAAACCACCGGCCTCGACCGAGGCTATTCAGGGGTTTGGTTGTTCTTGGCAGGTTGCAAGCCGCCGCGCCTCGAGGCTTGTTATTTTCCCGTCCGGTTGTGAGTGTCCGCAGAACCCTTTCACTCTTTGATGGGCATGGGTGTGTATTTGCTAGCGAAGTTTTGTCGGGTGAAGGTCGTGTAAGTCAAGTCGAGAGAGGTGAGGTTTTCCTATGCTGAGGCGCAGAACATTTTCGTCTCGAAGACAAGGAGGCAGAAGAGTGAGACGAGACGGAGAAATTTATGATTGGTCGGATGGATGAGTCCCTGGACTGGACTGGATGGATGCAGCTGCTGCAGGAGGTGAGGTGCAGATTGCGAAAGTGTAAGGCCACGGCGGCCCCACCGTGGACGGACGCCGCGGGGCTTTCATGGTTTGGGGGTCGGGTGCGGGGTGGAAGGAAGGGCCGGTGGTAAGCCCCGATAGACGTGGACACATGTCAAAAGATTGAGTGGTTATGGTATTATGCAGCCCTCGGTTTTGGGCTGATGATCTGAAGTTCGGTAAGGTAAGGTAGCCTACCTTACTGTTCAGATATTGTTCATAGGCATTGCGGCATCTTAGGTACGCTCGGGCGGGAGGGGTAGGGTATTTCGGATGAGGGTCCCCGCCGTCGGCTTACGGGTTGAAGGTTCCGGCGACACTGCACTGAGCTCATCTTACGAATGGCCTTTGGAGATGTGATTTGGATAGACTGGTAGTTATTGTTAAGTATTAATTAGGTAAAGCCGGCGAAGATATCCTATCCCAACCGGACATTGGTAGAGAGAGAGATGTCGGAGTCGGTGTCGGATGTGAGAGGTGGAGCTTACCCCTTCTAGGCATGTAGCTCAGGGAGCTTAGGTAGGTAGCTCATGCATGGGCCGGGGCGCACCTAACACCCCTCGTCTGTTCCACTGCTCGATGTTCTTCTCGCAACGCCGTCATCCGCCACACACACCCCCGTAGGAGCCGTAAAAGTTGGGGAGAATCCGAGAGCTCTTTCTTTCCTTATCCCGCTAGAAGTATTTCCCGGCCCAAGTCTGAGGTGCTGCGTCCGCTTTGTCCTTACTTTCCCTCCCACTACCTTACCTAGTCGGTGTACCTATTTAAATAGCTAAGCCCCTCCCTTCCATGTCCCGGCCCAGTCTTGTGCTTCGGCTTCGGAACGTCACCACCATCACCACCCCGCATCGACGAATTGCTTCTTCTACCACCGGCTTCGGGTATACCCATCTCGACACACGAACGCAGCGGACGAGCAAGATACGAGAGGACTGTCGTCGTCGGTTTTCCGCAACGACCGGACGAGAACGAGAACGTGAGAGACTGTATCTGGGAAAGGTCGTAGGAAGTCCCGCGAGGCTCAACGACGAGATGGCGGACCGGGTTCATCGCGTCACCATGTTCAAGATCGCGGACGAGGGGCAGAGGAAGAGGTTGATTGAGCAGTACAAGGTGCTGGGCAGCTCGCAGAAGAAGGTGTGTATATTGGTGTTGGGTCTCCTTGGGGGGCACTTGTTGTGTTTCTGGCGGCTTCGGAGTTGGGGTTTCGGAGGGGTGATGCCATCTCCCAATCTTCACTCACCTACGAAACTACTCTCCGAGTTGTCATTTGTGATAACGAGACCGGCCGTCTAGCCTTCTTCCGACGGGAAAACAACCCCCTTCTTTCGCATCATTGCTGACGGAGCCACCGCAGGACGGAAAGCCCTACATCCTCTCCATGGTCGTCGGCCCCGCCATCGACGACCCCCGCAGCCAGGGCTTCACCATCGTCGCCAAGACCGAGTTCGCCTCCCTCGAGGACATGAAGTACTACGACGACGAGTGCGCCGCCCACGGCGCCCTCAAGTCCTTCGTCAAAGAGAATCTCGATGTGGGCGGCGTCATGTCGGTGTACTTCAAGCCGGAGGCCATTGCGTCGCTGTGAGAGCGAGTTCGTGGACTTGGGTGAGGAGAGAGGTCTATGGGAAGTAGGTTGTGAGTTTCACGTTTCTCGGTGAGATGGCGTCACGGGACGTTGGTAGAGACTGGTGGTTTATCACCTTACTCGGTTACAGGCGAATTCCAATTCCATTGTTGCCGGTTATGGACAGGTATCAAGCTACTAGTATCACAGAAACACACAAACGCACCTAAAAACAACCCGGTTGCCTCATCCCTCATGTTTTTGTTCATTTCGTTTTCAAAACGTGCAAACCCAAAGACATCTCAACACCCTCCGTCACTCGAGGTATCCGAAATCACGAGGCAGCGGCAGCAGCGGCGGCGGCAGCCGAAGCGGGGGCAGCCTCGGCGGTAGTCTCGCCGTTCGTCCCGGCGGCGGCGGCGGGAGCGGCAGCCGGGGGCGCCACATCCCCCCCGCTCTCGACGAACCTCTTCAGCCCGTCCATCCACGCCGTGAAGGCCGCCTCGAGCTGCCCCACCAGCGTGAGCTTGACGATGTGCGCCAGCGGGCCGTAGAAGGTCTCGTAGCACCGGTACTCGGTGCCGCCCCCGTCCTCGGTCTCGAGGAACTCGTGCACGCGCTCCGCCCGCAGCAGGAACGTCGGCGGGGTGTACCCCGTGGTCTTCCAGGCGACGCGGTAGCCCTTGAGGCCCTTGTGCTCGCCGCCCGCGGTCGTCGTGATCACCTTGTTGAAGTCCTCGAGCTTGGTGATGATGCAGTGCGAGTTGGCGGACGGCTTGGCCGGGTCGAGGCCGAGGTGGACCTCGAAGGTGACCTGGGCGCCCTCGAGCATGAGGTCGGCGGGCTTGGCGTCGGCGACGGAGGAGCCGGCGAGCAAAGGGGGCAGGGGCTCGGTCGGGACGCGGTTGACGGTGACCTTGGGGAACATGGGGTTCCAGGAGGGGTAGGTGGCCGGGTTGACGAAGGCGGCGAGGACGGCGAGCGGGGGTTTGGCGATGGGGGTGGCGTAGGCGATGGTGAAGACGGCGCCGTCGTGGCCGAGGGTCGGGGTGGGGAGGACGGGGGAGACGAGGGTGGGCGCGAGGGTGGCGGGGATGGAGTCGGCGCCGTTGTCGAGGTGGTGGGCGGGTTTGGGCTTGAGGGTCTCGGGGAGCTGTCTGATGTTGTCCGGGATCTGGGACTGGATCCGCTGGCGGATGTTGTCCATCTTGACGGCCATTTTCTTTTGCGTTCTTCTCTTTGGGGGATATGAGCGTTCTGCGGGTGATGTTGGTGTATCTAGAGGTGAAGATGATTTGCGAGAAGGAGAATGAGGGGAAGTTGAGGTGTCGGGGAGAGCAGAAGGGGGAGAAAAGATGAGCCGTTTAGTTGCCTCGATGGTCTTCTGATGTGTGTGTGTGTGAGAGAGAAAGAGAAAGGGAAAACTGATTCAGGGAATCTGTAGCAGGAGGCCATCGGATTGGGCAGTCGAGGTGGATGTCACAGCTTTGTCCGCCGAGAAGATGCGTGGCCCAATGGTATCACCAGCTACACGTTTTGTTTGATAAGGGTCTTCCCTGTTACGCTTCTCCCGTAAGCTCGAGTTGGGCCGTATGAGGTAAGATAAGCCGGTCCAGGCGCATTCCAAGAATAAGTCTTTTTGTTCTCCTCAACGTTGGTGATCACGACATGAGGAGTTTTGTTTCATTAGGGCAGAGGGCATTCTACCCCGTGTGCTGCAACTGTGGTTGAAATCTGCAGGCGCGAGCTGTGATATCAATTCGACGCTGTGACATTCGATGCTACTCACCACTCCAAAAACTCGAGACACTGAAGAAGAGGCGGACAACACATACATCCCCACAACGAGGAGCCCAACCCCATCTTCGTTTTGGCGGATAATCTCTAACGGGGGGGCGAAGTGCGCAGCCGTAGGTTGGGCTTTAGACTTTGGGGTCTCGTGAGGGGTCGTCGGCGTCATGGGACGAGGGAGCTGAGGTACGGGGCTGGTCCGGGCGCGGAGATGCTTCAGCATGAGGAGTAAGGAGATGGTCTCTTGTGGCGGGGGTGCCGCGGGCCGGAGAGAGCTCTCCTGGGTGGTCTTGGTCTGGGCGGGGCCTTCCCCGGGAAGCTCCACTGACGATCCGGGGAATCGGACCCACTTGCGGGGACCGGGATTTTGTCTTCGGCGATTGCGGGGCGGGTGATCCGGCGGAGACGTCGGATTTTGAGGCGGGTTTTCCGGGATGCGCTCGGGGTGGTGGGGATGGTGTAGGAACGAGTTCTGTTTCCGCATGAGGCGTGGCCGGAATCATGCGCATGCGAGAAATCGCGGGTTGAAAGTCGGTTTGATATGGCCGTGGTGTCGTCGGCTTTGGTTAAGGCGCGGAAAAGGAAATGAAGAAGGACATGGTTTCCGGCTGTCAGCGAAGACAAGCTTGGCGTCGTCGCCGCCCCTCTAAACTGATCCTCAACTCTAACGGGTTCTCGCTAGCTTATCCGGAATGATTTCACGGCTTCTTTCAAGATCGCTCCACTGTATTTAATTCATGCCTCATCTCATCAACGACTACCCGGGTTGGCAAGCCGCGGGAGTATGCACCCGACATCGAGAATGCGAAGAAGCTGTGGGCTATGACTGAGGATCTAGTAGGACAGAAGTTTGACTTGTGATTGTAAAATGGCGATTTCCATCGTCAAAGTGCGCAGGTGTTCTCATTTTACGATTCTTCAATTGCTATCGCAGCTGAGCCAGACTAGTAACAATGCAACACTGTTCAATTTGAGTTTGTTGACTCAATGTGACGTATGCACGTTGTGCGGTGAGTTACACATTTATCATCCATTTTCCCATGCACTTACAGTCGATTAGCTCGACCGCTCTTTAAATCAGCTCCAGGCTCATAATTGTCGCTCAACGTGCATAACGAAATGCTTTGAGCCCCTGCTGTCGATGCGGCCGGGTAATAAAAAAACGATGACAGCAACTGCGGCTGTGGCTGGAGCGTTCTTAGAAGAGATGTCAACTTCGGGTTGATTGACTTGAACGCAACTCGCTTGGCTTCGAGTAGCGCAGCCTAGCTCGCGAGCTGCTTTTCGTGTCTTTTCGTGTTGTGGGTTGAACTCAATACCGCCAAGTGCGACTGCATGGAAGCCTTGAAGATGCTTCGCACAACTTCTGGCCCGAATTTGATAGTAAATACTCTCAAGTTAACTGTCAATATTGCCAAATTCCGCGACAGCCAGGTAACACTTTCCAAAGCGCACGAGCGGTTCCAGTTTCAGGGCAAAGTCACACGACAACCATCATATCGAACATCTTGTCGATACTCGGCTGAGGTTCTAGGATGCGACTGGGCCCGTGACAAAGTGGGCGCAATTGATCGTGTTGTACATTGAGGTCAACGTTGCCGTAAAGCCAACAATATTAGTTGACACCAGGACGCCATCGCACTAGCAGGTCATTTGGGTGCCTTGTTATCCCGCGAGGGATTGAAAGCGGCGTCGGCTGCAAAGGATGCGGATGTAGTGGAAGATAGACTCGAGTTGTTATTAGATAACGACCCAAGCATCTATGTCTTTGGTGGTGCGGTACGGGCCACCAATTTGCGATGGCAACGTCAGCGATCTCTGGGAACTTGTTGATTGCGATGCTTGCTTTCTGGTGAAGCTCGCAGTCGTTGTCAAGGATGCACGTGTCTCCTGCCTCGCGCATCCGTGGTAAAAGGTGCCCAGAGCAGTCATGCAGGGATGGCCGGTGGCGAGATGACTGGAGGTAGTGTAATGGGACAATCGTGTACCGCCACTTCCGTGGGCCACTTCCGTAGATGACTCGAAGACGCACTTGACCACTTTCGCATACGTCATCAAGACATTGCTGCAGTGCAGGCCTCTCCGCCTGAACCTGGGACCTTGGTATGGCAGTCTACATTCTCTTCACCCTCTGCATCGGATGGAAAGAAATCATCGCCATCGTCGCCATCGTCGCCATCGTTCTCATCAGGTTCAGCGTCAGGATTCTCCTCCTTGTCATCATTGAGATGAACTGTTCTTTTTTGTTGGTGCGTCGTCTCATGAGAGTGGTTATATCCAGTCTAACCTGCAGGCCCTCTGATATCTCCGAAGTACGACCTTATCAACGCGGCTGATACTGGCAATTCGAGTGTGACTCTCGTAGGGGTCCCCAAGCCAACGACCCCAGCCAACGCGCCATGAATGCGAATGGGCTCGGCCGTTGGAGGGTAGTATGTACTCACTTCGACCTTGGAGTCGGATTCATCATCGGGTTCAAACGTTGGTCATTCCCTTTCGGAACCTGCGGGCCTTGTGCCTGTTCTGCTGCGAGTACGCCTGCCCGAGCCGATCATTCTCAACCGGCGCGATGAGCACTTTGATTGTCTCTGCGGCGTCTTGGCTTCTGGGAAAAGGCTCTTGCTGGTCGTCTTCTCCATAGTCCGGTTGTGATAGACACTGACAAAGTGTCCTGTATGGGCCCGACCTTTCAGGATATTCTCAATGCTGTGATAGATTCTCAGTCATAGATGTCTAGTGGCAAGACGCATGCGCCTGCCCGTGTCCCTTTTGCCCTTACTTGTATAGAAAGGCAAGATGCTCGGCGCTAGGCCCAACTTCTGTCGCTCTCTTCAACAAACATTACCATACCTTATTGGACTAAGGTTACCATGGTATATATAACATAAGTTTATAGGAATATATAGTGAACTAATTAAATATTATATCGTATTTAAATACTATATTAATTATAGATATTATAACTAAGTCTAATTAATTAATTAACTAATAGGAGGCTAGGGATTTAAGTGCTAGTATAGGCGTTGCTCTAGGGCCCTATTTAGGTGCGCCCCCCCCCCTCTAGGCCCCCCTCTAGGCCCCCCTCTAGGCCCCCTCTAGGCGCCCCATCTAGGTGCGCCTAGCTAACTAAGCTATAGCACTAGGTATATATAGTTATTATAGCTCTAATTAAGTTAGTATTTATAAATATATATCTATATATATAACTATAGCTATTTAACCTCTTAATCTATATATACTAAGCTATTATTACTAATTAGAACTATATAGAGCTTTTTAGGCTAAACTAAGCTAAGGCTAATAATTATATAGTTATTATAGTAATATACCTATTTTAAGCTAAATACCTTATTATAATAATCTTAATATTATAGCTTCTCTACTATTAGAAAGATAAACTTTTCCCTATTATTAAGGCTATAGAGGAAGATTTAGTTAATATAACCTATTTACTATCTATTCTAAGCATTATTAAAGTAGATATATTAATTAATTTTAAATATATAGCGTTAGTTCTCTCTATAATTAGATTCTATATTAATAACTATATAATTAATATATTTACTAAATTAGCTATACCGTTATATACCCTAAGGATAGTAAGCTAATACTATAGTTACTAATACTAAGACTATCTATTACAGATATACTAAATACTTAAGTTTATTATATATCTACCTTAAAATTAGAGATATAATATACTATAGCTACTTAGTACTTATATATAAACTTAGTACTTAGAGAAGCTTATAAAGATATAGTAAGATATCTATAGATAGTCTATACGCTATAGTATTAGTATTAAGTTAGAATATATAAATATACCTATCTATAAAAATAGTTTTAATATACTATTAAATAGGAATCTTACTAAAGTTTAAAATAACTAGCTTATTATAATCTTATATATATACTTATAATAGAAACTACTAAAAATACTAAGATATATCTTTTTACTATATAAGTAGATAGTTACTATTATTAATCTTATAAATAGTAGACCTAATTTTAGCTAATAGGATATAGCTAATAATACTAATAAAGTAATAAAGACAAATTAGTGCCTAGCTCTAAATAAGCTTTATAGCGGTTTCTTAATATAAAGTTCTATAATATATTTATTATAATAATAGTACTTTAGCCTATATTATCTCCTAATAAAATAAATAGATATAATTTATAATTAAACTAATATTAATATATTTAGTTTAGCTAAGGTTTTTAAGTATATATATTATTTATAAGAGCTATAAGAAAAATAGGGGGGGAATAAATAGTAAGCTTAGTTACTAATAAGTAATAATAATAGCTTAAACCTATTATAAAGGTATTAAACTTTTTAGTTATAAATCCCTTTTTATAATACCTTTAAGGTCCTTTAATTAAAATAATATCTCTATTATAAATCCCTCTTTATAATACTCTTAA